AGACTGCTTTTTCTCCATTGTATATTCTTGCCTCCTTTGTCATAGATTAATTGACCATAAGTGTGTGGGCTTATTTCTGTGCTCTCTTTTTGAACATTGTTTTCTATTGTGATTGGTTACTAGAAACTTTATTCCTTTATAAGATAATAGCACTCTGTATGCTTACTTGTTTGTAGCCAGTTGGCTAGGAAGCTATAAGGTTGTGCTGCTATGAAGAAAACTTAAGTTTTGTTTAAGGTCAGAGTTATCATTTCAAGGGAATCAGGACAGTTTTGTGACTATGAGTTATTGGTCTAGGGGACTATTCAAATTGTGGCCTCCGTTTTGGTTTCTCATTTGCATTAGGAAGCCCATTTTTGGAATGTTGGTTCCAAATCTCCTCAGGCACTTCCCAGGCGTAATCTGAAACCAGCACCTGTAGGTGAAGGGCATGGAGAGACCAAAGAAAGAGGCAGAAGTCTCTAGATTGGCAGGTGGCAGCTTTAATAAACAAGGGAACTTACTTACAAGGCTTGTCTTAAGCACCGAAAGACGAGTAGATCTCTACATTAGCTTGCCAGAATCTGAAAATTTATATAGAGGCTTTAAATATGTGCAGTCACGTACAGTTGAGATAGTCCCATCATCAAGTTATTAACTCAGGGCTGTATCCTTGGGCAGCTTCTGGGAGTGGAGAAGGCAAAGGGAATGCACATTCTGAGGACAGGGGAGCGGGTGAGGAGCCTCCAATTGCCCAGGTCAAGCTCCAGGGTTCAACTGGTAGTCATGCCTTTTTGATGACTTCCCTCAACGTGGTTATATCTAGGAAATATTCTTGCCTTATTAGAATTTGTGGAAGTCATGGATTACCATCATCATAGATTTAAAAAAATACTTTAACTGTAATAACCATAATGGTGAAATATTAGCAAAATTAATCATATGTGGTTTTTTCTGTTACAACAAATGTACACAATCCATTACGAATTTTAAATTACAAAATGTATAAAATTTTAATTCAGATTCTTAAATATCCTCAAGAATAGACAGCTATCATTTTATAAGTGGACATTACCTTGAAATTCTTTTTGTCTTCATTTTACATTAAGGAGAATGAATTCTACAGAGGCAAAGGGATTTGCACACAGCTTCAGATCTCTTTTGTGATGACACCTTAAATCAGTCCTGACTCCCAATCCTTAGTGGAGACTTAAAATCGATGTTGTTTCTATTTCACTTTATTCTCTAAGCTCTGTATCCAGCGGCATAATTCTGCATCACAATGAAGGGAACTTCTCTGCACCAAGATTCTGAGCAAATGGTGTCGATGGGGCTAGCGTTTCATTTTGCACGTCTCCAGTCCTATTCTCTTCCCACTCCTCTAACTTAGCACGTTTCTGTTGCCACAGGTAAAAGGCGCCAGAAATTGGTGCCCTGTATCCACGACTTGGAAAGGAAGAAAAAAAGGCTGATTTGCAGACAATTTTGGGAAAACCATGGTTGAACAGCAAAATTTGGAGGAATTTCAGCCAAATTTTGTAATGTTTTTTACAACTTTGTTGAGAGATCCTTGACCAAATGTCCACCAAACCCCTGTCTTCTGACCTGAAATCCCATGCACTTTTTCTTTTTAACATCTTTATTGGAGTATAACTGCTTTACAATGTTGTATTAGTTGCTGCTGTAAAACAAAGTGAATCAGCTATACGTGTACATATATCCCCATATCTCCTCCCTCTTGCGTCTCCCTCTCACCCTCCCTATCCCACCCCTCTAGGTGGTCACAAAGCACCGAGCTGATCTCCCTGTGCTATGCGGCTGCTTCCCACTAGCTATCTATTTTACATTTGGTAGTGTATATATGTCCATGCCACTCTCTCACATCGTCCCACCTTACCCTTCCTCCTCCCCGTGTCCTCAAGTCCATTCTCTACGTCTACATCTTTATTCCTGTCCTGCCTCTAGGTTCTTCAGAATTTTTTTTTTTTTTGGATTCTGTATATATGTGTTAGCATATGGTATTTGTTTTCCTTTTTCTGACCTACTCACTCTGTATGACAGTCTCTAGGTCCATCCACCTCACTACAAATAACTCAATTTCATTTCTTTTTATGGCTGAGTAATATTCCATTGTATATGTGTGCCACATCTTCTTTATCCATTCATCTGTCGATGGACATTTAGGTTGCTTCCATGTCCTGGCTATTGTAAATAGAGCTGCAGTGAACATTGTGGCACATGACTCTTTTTGAATTACAGTTTTCTCAGGGTATATGCCCAGTAGTGGGATTGCTGGGTCATATGGTAGTTCTATTTTTAGTTTTTTAAAGAACCTCCATACTGTTCTCCATCCATAGTGGCTGTATCAATTTACATTCCCACCAACAGTGCAAGAGGGTTCCCTTTTCTCCACTCTCTCCAGCATTTATTATTGGCAGATTTTTGATAATGGCCATTCTGATCGGCGTGAGGTGATACCTCATTGTAGTTTTGATTTGCATTTCTCTAATGATTAGTGTTGTTGAGCATCCTTTCATGTGTTTGTTGGCAATCTGTGTATGTTCATTGGAGAACTGTCTGTTTAAGTCTTTTGACCATTTTTTGATTGGGTTGCTTTTTTGTTATTGAGTTGTATGAGCTATTTGTACATTTTGGAAATTAAGCCCTTGTTGGTCACATCATTTGCAAATATTTTCTCCTAGTCCACAGGTTTTCTTTTCATTTTGTTTATGGTTCCTTTGCTGTGCAAAAGCTTGTAAGTTTGATTAGGTCCCATTCATTTATTTTTGCTTTTTTATTGTCTATTGCCTTTGTAGACTGACCTAAGAAAACATTGGTAAGATTTCTGTCAGAGAATATTTTGCCTATGTTCTCTTCTAGGAGTTTTATGGTGTCGTGTCTTATATTTAAGTCTTTAAATCATTTTGAGTTTATTTTTGTGCATGGCGTGAAGGTGTGTTCTAACTTCATTGATTTACATGCGGCTGTCCAACTTTCCCAAGAGTTAGTATTTTTTAACCTAGATGTGTTTGCTCGTGGAGTTCACTACTCTTATATATCCCTTTATTACTATGACTGAAATCAGAGCTGGATACTGCTTTTATTCTCACATATGCAAGTTGTACATTCAAGAATTACCATGCTTCGCTTCTAGTGTACACACTCAGATTTCATCATCACCAAGTCCTATCTGTTTTGTTCTTATACAGTCATCCCTTGTATCTGCATGGACTTGGTTCCAGGACTCCCATTGATACCAAAATCTGTGGATGCTCAATCCTTTATATAAAATGGCACAGTATTTGCATATAAACTATGCAGTCCTCCTGTATACTTTTTTTTTTTTGGTACGCGGGTCTCTCACTGTTGTGGCCTCTCCCGTTGCGGAGCACAGGCTCCAGACGCGCAGGCTCAGCGGCCATGGCTCACAGGCCCAGCCGCTCCGCGGCATGTGGGATCTTCCCAGACCAGGGCACGAACCCGTGTCCCCTGCATCGGCAGGCGGACTCTCAACCACTGCGCCACCAGGGAAGCCCTGTATATATATTTTATATATTTGCTTATATCTATATATCTTTTGAATCTATATGTACCTTCTTATATATATGTAGAAAGACACATACTCTTGCTTTTAACTTTTACTGTAAAAGTTTCAAATATATAAACGGAATATTAAAGTGAACTACTGTGTACCTCAAGATAGTTAAAACTGTTAAAATCTGAATCTGCAAATGCCCAGAGCACACTCTTCTAATGCTTTAGAGGTAGTCCTGCCAAGGTTGAAGTGATTGAACCCTCCAGAAGTCTGATTTTTCCTTTCACAAAAAATAAATCTCATGTTTCCCCATCAGTCAAACGCAATTGTGAGCCTCTTTGCCACTTCCCCTTTTCCTCGTCTCAATGTTTGTAACTTTCCTCTTGTTTGTTTGTAACTAACAATGTAGCCAGTTTGCTGCTGGATTTCAGCTCAGAGCAGGAAAGTAGCTCAGCATTCCAACTACCCACCTTCAGGGAGCCAAACAGAGTGCAGAGGCGGAGTTAAGGCTTGGCTCAGGGGGGAACCAACTGAGGTGGCGGAGGGGGATGACGGTTCAGCTTTAAGAACTCTTTCTTTTTAGTCCTGATGAGCATAAAGAATTGCGTACCTGCAGGGCATACATTTGATCGCTAGGTGCTGGCACCAACTGCCAAGGCCGCTGCTCCAGGGCCCTCTCCTCTGGGGAGAGCCCATGCGCCCCGGCAGAGATTCCACTTCTGTGCAGTCCGCAGCTGCGGGTTTTGAGCGGTGTATTGCAAAGAACCTGCACACACTGACTTATTAAAAATGCAGCATAGCCCTCTCTGCTGCTTGTCATCCAATCAAAACAAAATTAGTGCGTAGAGGATATTGGAACATGTTCAAAGTTGCCTTCTCAAGTCCGCCTTCCACCAGCCTCTCTGGCTCTATAAAGCCCATAATTTATTGGGCCATCATCCTCATTTCATTGATTCCTCCATTTCCTTGCCAAGGGAGGAGGTGGCAACAACAACAAAAATTCTTACCAAAAAATGACTATTCTTTAAAGAGTATTTCGCTTTTTTCACCACCCACTCCTCTCTGACCCCCTCTAGTGGGACAGGTATTAACATGTTTACGGAGTCCCATTTTACAGAGTTCTAGTTAGGAAACGCAGTTCATCCGGGAGGAGAGGAAATCCACTCAGGTGGACCGGTCCACACTGGCCACCTCCCCCGAGGAGGGTGGGCGAACCTGCCGGAATGGGTGGGGGTAGGAGGGTTGCCTCGAGATGGAGACTTAAAGATGCGGGGGCTCAGGCGGGGAGCGCAGCGGAAACCGGGGTCTGGGGCCGCAGGAAACCGGCAGTTTAAGAATTTGCTAACCCTTTGGGACTTTCCTAGAGGTCCCATGGTTAAGACTCCGTGCTTCAACTGCAGGGGGCGCAGGGTCCATCCTTGGTTAGGGAACTAAGATCCCGCATGCCCCGCCGCCGGCCAAAAAAAAAAAAAGAAAAGAATTTGTTGTCTCGTAGCACCTGCTGCTGTGTGTGAAAAAGTGCAAAGAGAGTGTGCCAGAGAAGCACCTGGAAAAGCGCTGGCGCGAGATGAAGGGACAGCGAAGGCGGAGGGCTTGGTGTGGACTGCTGGCGTGGCGGCGATGAGACCGCGAGGTGGGCGATCGTGAAGCCAGGTGACCGTGACGAGTGAGAGGGTCTGGTGCTGCACCTGTCACTGTGCTAGACCTGGTGGAGGATGCTGCGGCAGGTGCTTCGCAGAGGGCTCCAGTCGTTCTGCCACAGGCTGGGCTCGTGCGTGAGCCGGCACCCGGTCTTTTTCCTCACCGTGCCCGCAGTCCTGACCATCACCTTTGGCCTGGGCGCGCTCAACCGCTTCCAGCCCGAGGGCGACCTGGAGCGCCTGGTCGCTCCCAGCCACAGCCTGGCCAAGATCGAGCGCAGCCTGGCCAGCAGCCTTTTCCCCCTGGACCAGGCCAAAAGCCAGCTCTATTCGGACTTACACACCCCCGGGAGGTATGGCAGGGTGATCCTCCTCTCCCCATCCGCGGACAATATTTTGCTCCAGGCTGAGGGGATCCTGCAGACCCACCGAGCCGTGCGCTTCTGCCAGTTAAAGAGGCAGCACTTCATTTCTTGCCCTAAACAAGCAGAGAAAATGCAGAGGTTTCCTCTTTAAGACACAGAAGACAATTGCTTCTTTCATTGGAGGAGAAGGTGTGGATAAATTTGGAAGGAAAAACTAAAGTAAAACTATATCAAAGGCACAATTATATATTTTTTAGAGGTTGGTTAGTTACTGGAAGGTGGATCGTGAGCCTTCAGCGTTGCCAGGGACTTTTTTCCCTTGCCAAGAGAAATAAACACGTAGCTACCAGCAGCCTGGCTAGAATTTGGTACTGTCTGTACTGATGTATGCCTGTGTGACGGTCAATAATAAGCTTTGACTATAATTGGGATTCCATGAATTTATGTGTGACCGTAGTAGGAATCCCACCAATCACGTATATTTGTGTTTGCATGCGAAAATAGCTGCTCCCTAGGTCTAAATGGAAATAATCACATGCTACATGCTAGGGTTGGTAAACTTGACCATAAGCAAATATTTTAGGCTTTGCAGACGACAACACTTTCTTTGTCATATAGTCTTGTTTGTTTTTTTCTTCTCTTTTCCTTTATCTCTTTGTTTTTAACAATACTTTAAAAGTGAAAAAAAAAAGCAACTCGCAGGCCAAACAAAATCATGCCAGGGGTCAGATTTGGACCCCAGACCATAGTTTGCTAATCTCTGAAATAGAAGTTTGTATATAATGAGAGGGGTTTATCTTCCCTTTTTAACTATTCTATGACTTTAGTGTGAAAATGTGTTTCCTCTTCATTTTCTAATCCCTTTTACTGTGCCAAGACTCAAGCTTGCCTGGACACCTGACCATTTGTTTTGTTTGTTTGTTTTGCGGTACTCGGGCCTCTCACTGTTGTGGCCCCTCCCGTTGCGGAGCACAGGCTCCGGACGCGCAGGCTCAGCGGCCATGGCTCACGGGCCCAGCCGCTCCGCGGCACGCGGGATCCTCCCGAACCGGGGCACGAACCCGTGTCCCCTGCATCGGCAGGCAGACCCTCAACCACTGCGCCACCAGGGAAGCCCAAGAGTTCACTTTTATAGTTGTAATTCCAATGTTATATAGAAGTTCATTGAACAACTTTAGCAAAAGACATCAGAGACTCAAACTAGGATTATGTCAGTAGAAATGAGAAAAAGTAAAGTCAACAGAGAGATACTGTGAATGTGGAATAATCAGGTTTGGCAACTGGTTGGATGTAGGGAGCAAAAAGAAATAATTAAAATGATCCCAATTTAGAACTGGCTGACTAGAAGAATTATAAATAAATACGAAAAGCTCGCGTTTTTACAGAAGGGATGAATTCAGCTTTGGACATGTAGTCATTCATCAGGAAATCCATGTCAAAATAATCAGCTGGATGTATACTAGTGTTGAAATGATTACCAGTTGTGATTTTGATTATAGGTTAGCTCTGCCTACAACGTTAATCAGAGAATGTTTTTTATGACTTGGAGATGACGTACATAAAAGTATACGTTTCAGAATTCTATGCAATGTGACGAAAATATCCTCACAGACGAGCAGTCAGGTTTCAGGAGACTGAAAAAATAAATCAAAGGTCCATCGCTTCTGAGCATTCTTTAAACTGAGAAGTTTACTTTCTTTTTTTAATTTTGTTTTATCAGTTTTTAGACTTCAGTAACCCAGATTTTTTTTATAATTTTTATTGGAGTCTAGTTGATTTACAATGTTATGTTAGTTTCAGGTATACTGAAAAGTGAATCTGTTATACATATACATATATCCACTCTTTTTTAGATTCTTTTCCCATGTAGGCCATTACAGAGTATTGAGTAAAGTTCCCTGTGCTATACAGTAGGTCCAATAGTTATCTATTTTATATATAATAATGTGTATGTGTCAATCTCAATCTTCCAATTTATCAAGCGGGAGGGATAACCCAGACTTTTTATGTTTCTGGAAAACATTAAGAAAATTGAATTTTGGGGGTGAAATTGATTATCTGGTTAAAACCAAGATTCGTTATGGACTCACCACAGTAGGTTTTTGCTGTTGCCATCTCATTTGCTGAGCCCTCCCTTATCCTGCAGTGGGTGATAAGTTCAAATTTTTCAGGTTTGAGAATATTTTAATGAAGACCTGTGGGTCAATTTATGTTAGTGATGGAAGATTACTGTGTGTTTGTGTAAGAGCATGAGTAAACTTTTTTGGTTCGCTCTGGTTACCACTCATGGAATGGAGAAAACATGATAACAGATTATGTGAGACATGAGGATTTAAGCATTAAAGGATCTGAAGAAGAACATAAACTAAGGGTCGTACCCTAAGTTATCCTTTATTGAATGGCTTCTCTGTGTTAGGCACTGTGCTGCTTTTTATTTGCCTCATTTCACTTAATCCTACCAACAGCCGATGTAATATATCCAAAAATCATGTTTTTATACCATTCACAAAACATATGGTTTTTCTTCTTTCTTTTCTCTTTTATACATAATCCCTTACTTTCTGGTGTCTCTGATGTCAAACATTTTCACTGTTTCCATAACCTGCAGGGGAAGGCATAGCAACTTGTCTGTCCCCCTCACGCCACTGTTAAACACTATCCATTTCCAGGTTTAATTTCTACTCTGGATTCGAACAGCTTTCAGTCGACTGTACTGATCTGGGAGAACAATATGGCCTCATTTTTTAGGCTTTTTTTCTTCCAAAGTATTGACCTTTCCCAGTCTTCTTTCTGCTTCACTTCCTTGAAGAAGTTGGTTCCTTTTGACCTTGAAACAATCTCCTTGAATTCCAAGTTATTCTGGAATCTCTCTTCCTTCTGATTCTTTGTGCTATTTTGTACATGGCTTCCTTTCCTCTTCCTGTCCCTGATGATGGTCCTGTCTATGGTACTTTTTTTTTGACACTCCATATTTCAAGCTTTTAATAATCAGTTTCTCTTAATTAATATATCTCATCTTATAGTAGCATCTATTATGTCTCTTTTGATGACTTGTAAGTTATTTTGAGTACCAGGTGTGCACCTCAATTCCAGTCTCAGAATTTCCACTTCCTGCAAGTGAACTTAACTTGGAATTAACCATTAATTTAATGCATAAAAGCTAGCTAGAGAGGGTTTCTGTTGTTTTGTATCAAAATAAATTTACTTAATGCATATAAAGATGAACTGTCATTTCTCCATAGTTCATCCCAATAACCCTGTCCCCGCTTATACTATATGCATGTACTTGGGAAGAAATGTATCTTAATTATGTGGCCTCCAAGAACATATCACATGAAATGCATTTATTAAAGGGACATTAATTGAACGAACATAGGAATGAGTCAGTCGTCACTTACTATCTATTAATCACTTATTAACTAATAACGATTAATTATTTATTATGCTTTCTGTGTATCAATCAAAATATTTTCTTATTTGTTGGGGCATTTTTTTTAACATCTTTATTGGAGTATAATTGCTTTACAATGGTGTGTTAGTTTCTGCTTTACAACAAAATGAATCAGTTATATATATACTTATGTTCCCATCTCTCTTCCCCTCTTGCGTCTCCCTCCCTCCCACCCTCCCTATCCCACCCATCCAGGCGGTCACAAAGCACCGAGCTGATCTCCCTGTGCTATGCGGCTGCTTCCCACTAGCTATCTACCTTATGTTTGGTAGTGTATATATGTCCATGCCTCTCTCTCGCTTTGTCACACCTTACCCTTCCCCCTCCCCATATCCTCAAGTCCATTCTCTAGTACGTCTGTGTCTTTATTCCTGTTTTACCCCTAGGTTCTTCATGACATTTTTTTTTCTTAAATTCCATATATATGTGTTAGCATACGGTATTTGTCTCTCTCTTTCTGACTTACTTCACTCTGTATGACAGACTCTAGGTCTATCCACCTCATTACAAATAGCTCAATTTTGTTTCTTTTTATGGCTGAGTAATATGCCATTGTATATATGTGCCACATCTTCTTTATCCATCCATCCGATGACGGACACTTAGGTTGTTTCCATCTCCGGGCTACTGTAAATAGAGCTGCAATGAACATTGTAGTACATGACACTTTTTGAATTATGGTTTCCTCAGGGTATATGCCCAGTAGTGGGATTGCTGTGTCATATGGTAGTTCTATTTGTAGTTTTTTAAGGAACCTCCATACTGTTCTCCACAGTGGCTGTATCAATTTACATTCCCACCAACAGTGCAAGAGGGTTCCCTTTTCTCCACACTCTCTCCAGCATTTATTGTTTCTAGATTTTTTGATGATGGCCATTCTGACTGGTGTGAGATGATATCTCATTGTAGTTTTGATTTCCATTTCTCTAATGATTAGTGATGTTGAGCATTCTTTCATGTGTTTGTTGGCAGTCTGTATATCTTTTTTGGAGAAATGTCTATTTAGGTCTTCTGCCCATTTTTGGATTGGGTTGTTTTTTTGTTATTAAGCTGTATGAGCTGCTTATAAACTTTGGAGATTAATCCTTTGTCAGTTGCTTCATTTGCAAATATTTTCTCCCATTCTGAGGTTGTCTTTTGGTCTTGTTTATGGTTTCCTTTGCTGTGCAAAAGCTTTGAAGTTTCATTAGGTCCCATTTGTTTATTTTTGTTTCCATTTCTCTAGGAGGTGGGTAAAAAAGGATCTTGCTGTGATTTATGTCATAGAGTGTCCTGCCTATGTTTTCCTGTAAGAGTTTGATAGTTTCTGGCCGTACATTTAGGTCTTTAATCCATTTTGAGCTTATTTTTGTGTATGGTGTTAGGGAGTGATCTAATCTCATACTTTTAGGTGTACTTGTCCAGTTTTTCCAGCACCACTTACTGAAGAGGCTGTCCTTTCTCCACTGTACATTCCTGCCTCCTTTATCAAAGATAAGGTGACCATATGTGCGTGGGTTTATCTCCGGGCTTTCTATCCTGTTCCATTGATCTATATTTCTGTTTTTGTGCCAGTACCATACTGTCTTGATTACTGTAGCTTTGTAGTATAGTCTGAAGTCAGGGAGCCTGATTCCTCCAGCTCCGTTTTTCATTCTCAAGATTGCTTTGGCTATTCGGGGTCTTTTGTGTTTCCATACAAATTGTGAAATTTTTTGTTC